TCAAACTGCTAGTTATTGCTCCCTTCTGCTGGTCTCCAACTTGAGCCTAGTTATACAAAAATAGAGCAATAACAATACCATATGAGTGTGGCCAAGAGAAACTTTGATTTAGTTTTTTTGATAAACTCAGCCATGATCCAAAACATGTGTGATTTATATGTTGCAGATCATAACAGAATTATCAAAAAAACAATACCAAGATTTTCTCTTAGCTGCATTTATATGAAAAATACTCAAACATTTATGCTCTGTTTTCTATCGATCAGTTTATAAAAACCAATTAATTAATCTTTCATGATCTAATTATTTTAAATAGGATGTGGTGACTTAGTGAAGTTGGCAAGTTGTTGCACCCTCAAGCAGCAGAACTAGAGTTTAAATCCCACCAGCAACGAAAATTTGAATTATAGAAAATGCATTTGGAAGACTGTATCTTATTGGATTGTAAAACCTGTAATAGTAGTTATATTAGCTTGTACTAGAAGGTAGTAGAATACATAGTATGATGTACAAGTTATATGAAACCCGAGTGAAGCTACTAGATAAATCCAGTGAATTTATAGAGTACAGAAGCCTGCTTGGCGAGACCTGAGTAGAGAGATAGCACAGATTTTTAATGGTTACTATGTAAAGGATGATCAACTAGATACCGAAAAACCAGATAGAACTGAGGTGTTTGTTAAGGCACCATACCAACCAGGCCATTAGATAACTAGATAAAGGGTTCCACCCTTCCGGGTCACAGATTGGGAGTTTGGGTTTTCAGAGATATGGGAAAGAGTTTGTAAAGTAGGTATCAAGATTTGAATAAACTCTACAAGAGCAGCAGAACGTAACTGTAGCAGACTTGGCTTGCAAGTACTTGTCCTCAGACTCGACATAAGTTACTGAAAAGGCCTAGTCTAGAAATGTATAGAACATAGAAAGATTAGGAAGGTATATACTACACCTTTTCTAGAATAACCTGGTAAGTATAAGAATCCTACTGGGTTATTTATAGAATTAGAGCACAAGTAGTGTAACACATGTCAATCTGAGTGGTCTTCAATGAAGCAGTATGAGGTTATAGGTTGGCATAATTGAAGTGGTAATGCAGGACAAGAGATATCAGAAAGTTTAATTAGATAGCTAAAGTAATAGTAGGTTATAGATATAGCATCTAGTGTAGACCTTGGTAATAGGTAGCTACTTAATTAGACACTCAAAAGGCACAAATATGGCTAAAATATACTCTCATTAACCATGAATATACTATTAATATACCTAATAAAAATTCACCCTTTCACGATATTGCAAAGGTAAAAAAAAAAAAAAATTATTTTAAATATTTAATTAATTTTTATATAACAATTAGGATCATTCATAGATTACTATTATGCTAATATATAATGTAACCGGAACAGAAAAATTAAAACTATTAGTAATTAGGTCTTCAATTTCTCTTCATACACTTTTTTATATTAATTATGATTCTTTACCTGTTATATATTGTGCAAATTCCTAAACATGGATGTAAAATGATATATTTTCTGAATGGTTAAAAATTTTGAATCAGAAATTTCATATTCAAAATTGTCAAGTCCTGTTATTAGTTAATAATGCTTCATCACATTTTCATAACCAACCTAATGTCTCTGAATTACATAAATCAAATAAACCAAACTCAGATGATGAAATATTTAATGATAATTTAGAACTTGAAGTAACACCTATTCTACATGGAAATCGACAAGGTCAAGGTTAGTCAAGGTTAACTAGAACTAATCAAAGTGCAAGCAATAGTTGTGGTAATCATGATAAATGTGTTACTGGTGATAGTATAGACCATGATAGTAGTGGTTATGGTTAACCACATACTATTCCTGATTATTTAAATATAAAATTAACTAATATTAGTCTTGAATTTTTACCCCAAACACCACTGCTTATCTTCAGCCTATGGATGCTGGAATTATTAAAAGTTTCAAATCTAAATATAAACAAAAGTATATTCATCACATATTAATACAAATTGAAAACAATGAAAATTTAAAAAAGTTGAGAATTATACTTTAATTAAGCCATACAAATTTAATGTCTTGGTTTCATAATATAAAATTTTAAATAAACCCGAACTGCTATTTTTTTTTTTTTAATAAAAAAAAAAAATTCAAAATCAACCTTGGTTATTAAAGCATATAAAAAATTTGTTCTAACTAGGAATTATCTAAAGCAAAGTAATTTTTAAGATCACATAAAGTATATAAATTACTATCTGGCTTTAGATGATCCTCCAGCGGGGCTATAAAAACCAACTAATTAAGTTTGTATAGCTCTATATAATAAATTTTTTTTTTTTATTTTTTAAGGTAAAGTTTGCCTTTATTTTTATTAATATTTTGTATTGAAAATCTACTATGGGTTTTTCTGGCCAGAGCCAAGTTACAAAAATTTTACAAGAATAAGACTCAGACTACCAGAAGCTATCTAAACTAGAAATTCTGATTC